AATGTAACAGTTTTACCCCTTTAGTGTATAATTTAGAGAAAGGAAAGTATGTATATTACTCGAATGAATTCAAGAATAAGTTAATTATCTTAAGTTAAATACTGACATTTTACTTCGCTCTCGAATTAAATTTTGGAGAAGCAATTTATACTTCAGAAGCAAAATTTAGAAGTGAAAAATGGAAGTCCTTCATTCTACCCCCACTTATAAATTCCTTGTCCTTCATTTCCGTCTATATGTATGTTCCCACAAATAAGATCTTATTTTGTTGTAGCTTGTTTTTTTGTTTGTTTTGTTTTGTTTTGTTTTTACCACCTAAGAAAGATATTTACGTCCTTTTCCAGTAGTTTTCTAGTGCTCTATGGTATACATGCATATTGTTTATCCATTCTGTAGTTGAACATTTGGATTATTTTCACAGTTTAGCTACTGCAGCACTGTTAGTAATCTTTTATGTCTTTATATGTGTTGTTTATATAGGTTAAATTCCTACAGATAGATTTGGTGGATCAAGAAGCATGTATACTTTAGTTTGATAACTATAGATGCTCCTTACCATAGGGTTATGTCTCAATAAACCCTAATCGTAAGCGGAAAATATCGTAAGTTGAAAATGCATTTACTATGCCTACCAAACATCATAGCTTAGCCTAGCCTACTTTAAAAGCATTCAGAATACTTACATTAGGCTACAGTTGGGAAAAATCATCTAACATAATGAATACACTGTAGAGTATTAGTTGTTTACCCTCATGAATGCATGCCTGACTGGGAGTTGTGGCTGGCTGCCACTGCCCAGCATCTTGACAGAGTATTGTACCACATATTGCTAGCCCAAGACCAAAATTCAAAATTTGAAGTACAGTTTCTACTGAATACTTACTGCATTCAAACCATTGTAAAGTCAAAACACTGTCAGTTGAACCATCATAATTTGGGTACCTTCCATAATACAAAATTTCCATTCTAAATGTTCAACCAGAGTGTGTTCCTAATAACAGTGATTTTTTTTTTTTAAGGCGAGGCAACCCTTTGTTGACCTCACAGATTGAAAGGACCTTGTCAGCTTATAATCCCTTATTTTTTTATTTTTTATGCTTACAGCACCTGGTCTTCCTGGGTGGTCTCCTATCCAAGTACTAATCAGGCCCGACCCTGCTTAGCTAGCTTCTGAAATCAGACGGGATCAGGCTTGTTCAGGGTAGCATGGCTATAGACCCAAAAGTGATTGAGTATGGATATAATTAGTCCCTGGTTTTGTTTTGTCATAGGTGATGAGTAAAAACAAAAACCTCGTTTCAGTTTTGCATTTTTCTGATTACTAGTGAATTTAAGAGTTTCTACCTGTTTGAATATTTTTAGATTCTATGAATTACTTGTTTATATCCGTAATTCATTTTTTCCTGATGAAGTTTGTATTTTTTAATTCAAAGCTTTAATATTTATTGCATGTCGCATATTTCAAAAAGTGATATTAAAATTTTATAGCCTATCTTAGTCATACAGGGAATATAACCTATAGTCATTGACACATAAAACCTTTGATAATGCTCTGCTAATTCATTCCTTTAATTTCTCTCAAACACACAGAAGGTATAGAGATCCTTGAATATTAGATGATAGAGAATTATTGGGAATATTTAACTCACTAAATTCATCTTGTTCAAAGAATGCTGGAAGTGCTACTAATGTATTTTTAGAATTTCTACACTTTTTATTGAATTCTTTATTTTACTGATACCTGCTTTTTTAGTTGACAGGGTCAGTTTTGGAAGATGCCTGGAAGGAAAAAGGAAAGAATGATATGGAAGAAATTATTCAGAGAATTGAAAATGTTGTCCTAGATGCAAACTGCAGCAGGTAGGAAAAGTAGATAGCAGTAGATTTCAATTCCTTGCTTTTTCTTTAGGGGCTGTTTTTTCATCTGCTGTACTTCAATCAGAATAATTTAAATCTTATAGATTGATCTACAGAAACATTTTCCTTAAAGGCATATTTTACCTACTCACCTAGCCGTTTTTCTAGCCATTGTCAATAAATATTTGTATAAAGTACTATTATGAGTCCTGTAGGATGCATTAAAATGTTTGCAGGATAGCCATTGCCTTTGAGAACCATATAGTTACATGGAACAAATTTCAAGTCTGTTTAAAAAAAAAAAAGTAAATTTGTGTCATGTTTTTTTTTAAAAAAGGTAAATTTGTGTCATTATAGGAAATGTCTAGAAAATGGAAGCATTGAATGTACATGTTAAATTTATGAAACAGTTCTAGGAATCTGGTATTTTAGAGCCTGACAGCATTTATCGTGGATATATTTTAACTCCTTTTCAACTTTTGTCTGCAGAGATGTAAAACAGATGCTCTTGAAGCTTGTAGAACTCCGGTCAAGTAACTGGGGTAGAGTCCATGCAACCTCAACATACAGAGAAGCAACACCTGAAAATGATCCTAACTATTTTATGGTATGCCAGTGTTTATATTTTAAATTTTGCTAATTGCTTGAATTCAATTTTGGAAATTTCAAGATGAGTTACATAAAGCTGTTTGCAGAATTTAATGCCTAATAACTCTTTTCACTGGCTGAGAGTCACATGGCAGCAAGCAAATGAGGTAAATGGTAGAATCTTCCAGTGAAAAGGGTAGACTAGAGAAGGATCCATCCATTGGCAAGGGAAATTGAGATAAGGTTTGGAATTAGGTAAGTGTAGGGATTCCAAGAAGCAGTTTTTTCCAGGGAATTCATAACCAGAGGCCTGCATCTCAGTTTTTCACTTTGCATGTTGAGGTAAAATAAATCAAGAAAATAAAAATGTTTACCAGGCCAGTGATGCCCAGGGGCTCCCCGATGTGACTAAAGCAACTATGGAGGAATGCTTTTACAATCCCAGTCTAGAAAAAATGGTGGGGAGAAGGAAACCACAACTAAAAATGAGCTGACATGAAATCATAGTATACAGCAGAACAATTCACCAGGAGTGTGACAGAAAATAGCACAATGTGAGATAATAGAATAGAAATCTGAAAACCCAGTAGACTTCCCCAGTGAAATGAAAATGGCTGCTAGGAGGTTAGTTTTTTGCTTATTCTTGCATTGACAGGTACAGACGAGTGATAGCAGCCCTGTTCCATTAATAATGTGCTTTTAAAAAACTCAGTTCTAAAATGATTACATATTTTTATCAATTACTTCGATTTATCCTAGAATGAACCAACATTTTATACATCTGATGGTGTTCCTTTCACTGCAGCTGATCCAGGTATGTTGTCTCAGAGCCACTCCCCACTCCATTTTTTGATAAGACAGTAAATTACCTAAAACTGTACTCTTTTGGAAAAGTTCACATCATTCTAAAAAATAAGGTAAAGACTTGTCTCTCACAGAATATTCTTTACAGTGACCACTTGGAACCATTTCAGATGGAACATCTGACTCAGTATATAGTGTCTCGTCACCCTAACAACGAAGGGGTGGAAGAATCCCTCAATTAAATGCAACCATTTTTATTTTGTATTCCGTCTGATATTTTTATACTCTAAACTTCCCAGGTGGTTGAATGGAAGGAAAAGATGGTTCTGGTTCACTACTTAGTCAGCAACTTTCATTAATATGGGTTACTACTAAATAAGAATTACAGATTTCATTAATACTTGTTGGGTTAAAGGTAATTAAAATCTAAATCTCTGCATATTTCCCCTTCTAAAAAAGAGCATTTATAGAAAGACTGCTTTAATTATGATAAACGGGACTACAGTGGAACGAGAGATAAGTTTTTCCTATTTGGTACAAACTACAACCAGTTTATCATTGGAAGTTTCTCATTTGTTTCCTCTGGATAGCAGCCACTGATTATCCTGTGCTTCTAGCACAAAGGTAGAAAGAAGGACTGGGATTTCTTAACTTTCAACTTAAAATTATGAAACATTCAAAAAATATAAAAACCACAGAAAACTGACCTATTGATTCATAGTCAAGATAAAACCATCCAGTCAGGATTAAACCAATGTCTTTTTGCCATATTAATATATTCTTTGGGCTTTTGTTAAAGAAATAAAACCCTTTAGATACTACTAAACCATTCTCTGTTCTATAATTGATCCCTTCCCCAAGTTGTCCTTCCATCACTTCTCTCCCAGAGGTAACTACTGTCCTTTGTGTCATCATGATGTCTTTTTACTTCATATATCTGTAAACAGTATTTTCACACAGTGTTAACCTAAATGGTATCTTGTACACATCCTTTTGCAGCTAATTTTTTATTCTGTGTTGTTTTTGGTATTTATCCATGTTGAGATAGATAGCTTTGGTTCATTCATTTTAAACGCCAGATAACACTGAGGTTTATTACAACCACCTTATCAACGGATTTCTAGAAGGATAAGAACTTAGTTTACTATCCTAGTTCTCATCTCTGGCAACACTTATTGTTACTAGACCTAATTTTTTATCAGTCTGAATGTATGAAATTGTAAATTTTTATTTTCCTACTAATGATATTGTATTTTTCATGTTTCTTTTGACCTTTTTATTTCTTCCTTTGAGAATTGCCTGTTCTTTGCCCATATTTCTATTCGATCATTTATCTATTTTACTGATTTGTAATTCTTTGCATAGCCTTAAAAATGATCCTCAGCTTCTCCCAGTATGTGCCGTTGTTATGTCTTAGCATATAGAAGTTTTGAGTTTTCATATAAACTAAATGCATCTGTCTTGTGTTCTGTGACAGTCTCCTTACTAGTATCAATTCTATTTTCCTCTTAAAATCTTACTGCCTTTTACATTCAGGTCTTTAATCTGTCTGGCTAATTTTTATATGTGGGGATATAGTAGGAATTAAATATTTTTTCCATTCTCTTATCAACAGGTGTTGAATCATCCTTTTTCTTTTAGATAAAATGTTTCTCTGTTGTGTACCATGTAATTCCTCTATAAACTTGTGTCTTATTCCTCTGCTTGTGCATATGGATATTTTTTCTGTATGTCTGTCTTGACAGCAGTCACACATTCTTAATTATTTTTACCTTAATGTAAATCTTGCTTAGTGAGACAAATTTTCTTTTTTCCCTTATTCTTCATAGTTACCTTGATTCCTTTTGGTTCTTTGTTCTTCATCTTTGTCTAATCTGTTTATCCTATTTAATTGTTTACTTCTAGTGACTATTTTTTATAGAAATTCAGTTTGGTTTTTCAAACTGAGTTTTGTTTCTGCATTTTGTTCAAAGTATCTAAATCTTAAAAGTTTTGAGTTTTTTCCTCATCATTCTAAACATACTTATTTTTGCTTTGTATTTTTGTTCTGTCTTTTAATTCCAACCCCACTGTTACTTCAGATTACTACACAAAATTGTTATGCTTTTTTTTGCAATATCATATTTAACTTAAACTTTTTTTTCGGAAATAATTTCAAACTTACAGAAAAGTTACAAAAGTAAAAATTGTACAAAAAACATCTATTTACCCTTTACTCAGGTATACCTTTTGTTAACAGTTTACTCTGTTTATCATTAGTTCTGTTCACACTTCTTTCTAAATCATCTGAAATTAAGTTACATATTTTAAAGCCCATTATGACTGCTCCAGTGTTTTAACTGCCTTTTTGTTTTAACTGCCTTCATGAAAACTCCTTGTGGCTTGGCTTGCAGAAACATCTATCCAAAGTGGGTTTTGTATTTGCTCCTGCCAGGAGCCACAGGAATAACAGTGGCTTAGAACAAGTTTTTATGATCTTATCATAGGGATTCTTCATGTGAGTAGTAAAAAGTTGAGGTGGATGCCCCTTGTTACAAGTTCTCTGGGAACTAGTTTCTTCAGAGTACTTGTGTCTCCACACCTCACCCGGGTCAAGTCAACCAAACTTCTTTGTCGTCTCCCTTTGCCAACGAGGTGTTTTTCATTTTGCTCTTCCCTGGTTTATCTTTTGCTTAAGATATCTGCCCTTTGAATGTCCTGGGTTTGTGCAGAGTGAGATGGGTGTGGGGCACGACTTCCATCTCTCTGTTTCACATGGACCCAAGACCTTCCTTTCCGCCTTTTTTGGGTTTTAAAATCGAAGCCCGTTTGTTACCACATGGTATACCAGCCTCTCAGCTGTAGTAATTATATATGGCTTTCAGTTCCCTTCTCATTTGTCATCAAAAAACTCGATGTTTTTTGTGAACTCATCAGTACATTTAAAAGGATATTTGTCTTACCGATTACAAGTATTTGTTGCAGGAAGGTTTTATAGTTAAAATGGTCTCTAAATTGCCAAATTTAAATGTCAAAATATCACTAGTCCTTTAAGCTGGAATTAGAATTTATATTATAGAGACCCTTGGGAACACTTGGTCTTTACTCAGTCTAATGTAATTATATTATCTCTCAAAATTTGAGGTGGCTGTTTACAAGGAACTAATTTTAAGGTAACTAGTTTTACTATACACTGATCTATTTTATTATTCAAAGGTATGGACTCCATACAGACATGCTAATCTTATAAGCTACTCAGTAACTCTAAAACACTTGGCAGATGGCGAGCTATATCATCATCTGAATTGCCTTGGAAAAGTCCAACCAAGGGAAAGCTGGTAGAGCCGAAAGATGTATTAGGTAGCTTCTTTCTAGCTGTCTCTGAGGAGAGGGAAGAAAATCCTCTATGTTCAGAACCTTTGCTCAGTTAGCCGCCTCTGAGAAATGTGGAACAATAGCTGTCACCTGCTAGCCAGGTAGATAGATCACTTCACCTCCTTGGGGAGGAATAATGGGGGAGCCGGAAGCCAGGGTGTTTGATTGAAATCTCTCTTTATGAAAGGAAAAACAGGACTATGGAAGAAACATGTTCTTTGCCCCAACAATTTATATAACCAATATTTTGTCTGATGAAAAGAAGCAGTAGAGAATGTAAGCAGCATGGACATAGGCTGTGAAATGTACTATGGTACATTCAGAGTGCTTTGATTCCTAACATATTATATTATATAATTAAGATTTATGAGCATGCAGGGAGGCAAAAGCAAGTCAATTAGCAAATATGTTTTATAAAAGCTTTTCTTAAATATATAGTTAAGCTTACTTAATAGATAAGTAAAAATAGCTTACTGCTATTTGAACTTTGGATCTACTTAAATGAAAAGTCATAATAAAATTTCTTAGGGATAACTGGCCATTTCATTTGAACTTTTTTTTTAGCATTTAAATTTTTTTCTTTATTTTTTGTAGATTACCAAGAGAAATATCAAGAATTACTTGAAAGAGAAGACTTTTTTCCAGATTATGAAGAAAATGGAACAGATTTATCAGGGGCTGGTGATCCGTAAGTTTTCTTTAGCCACTAGCTTTATTATGTGAAATTTCTGTAGCCACAATTTCTAGGTAGAGTTTAGACTAGAAAAAGAGTAGATAATGAAAGAATGAATTTTGATTAGATGGCATTGTAGTGGTAGTATATATGTAGTACTTATTTACCAGACATTTTCAGATAATGTTGGAAAACACACAAACTGATTCTGAAAACTTATATCTAGTTGAGAGGAAAAATTATTAAAATGTAGTATATGCTAGAATAATTATTATAAAGTAGATTCTATTATACCTAACACTTTAAAATAACTAGCTGTAATATTGTAAGATCTTGGGCAGGTTCTGTGCCTGTTTCTCCATCTATAAAATAGGAATAGTGGTACCCCTTCTTGAGTTTTTGAGAACTAAACAAGACTACATAAATGCTTGGAAAAGCCTCTGGCACATAGTAAGAGGCTCAAATCTTAGCTGCTACAGGATACATTAAAGAAACAGATTACTATATAAAAATGTTTGGACTGGTGAGAAGATATAAATCCATGCTTTCAGTTTTTATATATCATCTCTTGTGTGTTGTAGGTTAAAAAAAAAAAATGTGAACCACTTTTAGTCTCTCTCTTATCTAGTGACATTTGAATTATAAGTTAAAGGTCTTCTATAATATTGCCATACTTTTTATATACTTTAGCAGAAAAATTGCCATACTTTTTATATAGTTTAACAGAAAAAATACAGGGGTGTAAAGACCCAAGCACATTTAGGGAAGTTGAGTCCCGCTGAGTATACTACTGGAAGTTCAAGTTGTTCTCAGCATTGAATTTTAGGTTATCCTCTAAAGTTTTGCTTGGTGAGCATTATTTTCTCATCAGCAGTTGTCAGACTGGCAAAACATAATTTTGTCATACATGTAGGTAGAAAGAGTTATTGGAGGATGAGGAGACATATAGACAGCGTCTTGTGGAGGAAAAGTGCAGAAAAGGGAAGAGATCTGCCTCTGCTGCATAGTTACCAAATCTTACATTATTTAACCTGGAATTTTTTGTTTAATCTCTAAAATGAAGGTGATAGTAGTACCTGTCTTTTTAAGGTAAACCTTTGATTTACTTTTTAGATTAAGTCAAAGAATTAAACATATGTCTAAATGTATAGCAAAATCTTAATTTCAAACACAAAAGACTCAGAATCCATTGTAAAATTTAACTCATCATATTAAGCAGTTGTCCAAGGACTGACATTTAATGTAATTCTAAACAGTGCTTTTGCATTCTTTTATAAACTCAGTCTAGGAAACTTGTCAGATACTTTTTCTAATGGCTTAGCATCTTAGACATTTTCTGATTTGAAAAACATTAAATTCATGAGCCGTCTTGCTTCTTTCACAGATACTTGGATGATATTGATGATGAAATGGACCCAGAGATAGAAGAAGCTTATGAAAAGTTTTGTTTGGAATCAGAGCGTAAGCTAAAACAGTAAAGTTAAATTTCAACATATCAGTTTTATAAAGCAGTTTAGGTTATGGTGATTTAGCAGAACACAGGAAAGCAAAAAAAAATGTGTCATACTTAAACCAAAATTAAGGATGTTGAGTTATGTTACTAATGTATGCAACTTTAATTTTGTTTAACACTATGCCAAAATAAACTTTATTCCCTATAACTTAAAATGTGTATATATATATAATAGTTTATTATGTACAGTTAATTCCACTGTTTTGGCTGCAATAAAATTGATTTTGAAATAAATGAAATGTTGAAAGTAAATTTTGCTAGCTGGTTAGTAGCTTATTCTTTAAATTCAGCTTTTTTCGAGGGAAGAATTCTTAGCCTGGAAATACATATTACTGCAAAAATGTAGCATCCTTTTTTTAGATACAAGTATATACCTTTCATTTAGTTTTACATTTAGTGTCTCAATAAATTTGAAATATGATTCACAATCATGAAAGTCTTTAGCACTAAAATCTTAGAATATATTAACTAATTTACATATCCAGATGCTATTTGATACCAAGGGCTTTAAAAATGTCATTAAAAAAGGCTTAGAACTCCCAACTAAAGAACCAAGATTCTTCACTGAGAATTTATTGCAATTCTAGAATTTTTCATTTTTTTTTTTCACCTAACTTCCATTAACCAAAGCCTAGAACATTTTTCTGCTTTATTTATATGGCTTTCTCATTTTTATTTTGTAGCATGAGTTGCACTGACTTTTTTACTAGAGAATTTTGCTAGATCTTTATCACTCAAGTTTTCATCTGCTTTAAAATTGATACACCTTGAGGATCACTTTTCTAATACTTTTACTATTATGTGGTACCAGTTCAGCACTATTTTTACCTAATGTCGAAAAATCTTTTTTCCAACTAACTAAAAGTAAAACTTATGTACAAAAGGATTGCTTGTAAATATGCATGTAAATAGTTCTATTAATAACCCACTGTTTTACATTTGGTACATCTGTGTCTGCTAATACAGTTAGCTTTCTCATTTTTCTGCTTGTTTGTTCAGTCTGGATTAAAATTAGACTTTGAAAATAAAATGGAAATAGTTTTGTTTTCTCTAAGTTTTTGGAGTGGTATCCTGGTATTTTAAATGATTTCTGTTTAACTATATTAGAATAGATGATATTCTATTCAGTGTCTGTTGAATAAGAATTCAGTTCAATGACAAGTCTAGTTGGAAAAACTAGCAAATATAAAAAATTAAAACTGAGATTCCTTATTATAAAAGGATGTATATATGCAATTGGGGTTTTTGGAAATTATAATAGAACTTTTTTTTAATGGCTTCTGTAACCTGGTGGTTGTTACCTTAATCTATAGTTCTCTAAAGATTCTGCTCACTGTAAATCTTAGGGGCAGGGAGAAGATAGTGTGGAGAAGGGGCAGGGGAGTAGACCAAAGGCCAAGTATATGCTAACAGAGTATACTGTAAACTTCTAGCAGTTGCTCTGTGAATAACCATCTGTTTTTGTCCACTATCTCATTGTCACCTACCACTGTTCTACTCATGACAGCCACCAACAGGATCAATATATATTCCGGTTACTAATGCTGCTTAAACCACCCAAACTTAGTGTCTTTGTACAATAATCATTTTATTATGTTCATGGATTCTGTGGCTTAGGAATTTGGACAGGGCACAGTAGTGATGGCTTTTCTCTATTCTGTAATGTTTGAGGCCTCAGCTAGGGAAGAAACTAGGGACTGGTCGTGGCTTGAACAGCTGGGGACTGTAATCATCTGGAGTCTTCACTCAAGTGGCTGATGACTGGAGGTGACTTGAAGGCATCACTCAACCAGAACCACCTACACATAATCTGTCCACATGGCTTGGACTTCTTACAACATGACAGCTGGATTTGGGGGTGGGGAATTCCAGAAGACCCAAGGAGAGTCTGTATTCAAAAGCTGCAGGCAACATTATTTCCACCACAGTCTTAGTTGCTAACACCAAAACAGGAGGCCATCAAGGAATGTGTGGACGTGTTTTAAAACTGCGGCAGTACATAAAGGAAAATTTGGTCCTGTGCTACAATTGTTGGCCTTTAGGATTGCCATATCTTCCAGAAATATGGGTCAGTAAGTCTTTTGTAAGGGTAATATTAGCACAAGTCTCCAAAGAGCAAAGATAGAAAGATGCCAGTGAGTGTCAGTCTTCTGGCAAAGTACAAATATTGGTTTAAACCTGGCAGTGATGTCATCAACTCAGACTCTGTGATCAGTGCCCTGTGCCACAGACTACCAAGAACACACAGTTCCATGGGGAACTGAGGAGTATCTCAGAGGTGTTAGAAACAACCTATTATAGGATTTGGGCTTTGGATAATTTGGGAGAGGGTCAAAGAAACTGGAGGTTTACTCTAGATTGGATGTTGTCAGAAAGCAGAGGCAATTCTATGATTTGATATTTCATTAAATCTTATCAGGGGACTGATAGGTATGGATTGAGTTGTAATTTGTTTTTTAAAAAATCAGTTACATTTAGTGAGAGGAGAATGTTTGGTATAAAAAGTCAAAAGTTGTCCAAGACTGAAGGACTGAAAAATCATCTCAAATCGGGGGGAGGGGGGAAACCTGTCATTAACCAGGCCAGGAGGACTGACAGATAAAGCCAACAGCAAAGTTAACAGGAAACACTTTGTCAAGGTCATGCAGCAGCTATAAAATGTCATCATGACCCCTGTGTTTGACATGTCCAGACTTTTTTGCTATCCCCGCTAATTACTGGGACACCCAGTTGCTAAACTGCCCTCACCTCATGACAGGACCCCAGCCTTAGTTAATCCCCACCTCTCCTAATTCTGCTGCAGAAAGAGCATCCAACCCAGAATTGATCTTTTCTTAGAGCTTCCACAAAATCCTTTAGCAGAAACCCAAACCTCACAAAAGATGGTGCCCTCCTCCCCTCTGGAGAGTGCCATTCGTGGTTTCTCTGGAGTGTGCTCCCTTGCTTTCAAGTCAAATATGACTGTCAGACTACAGGCTTGAGCCTGGTGGTCTTCGGCTAACTAGACTGCAGCAGATACAAGTATTTTAGGGACATGTATGCTGCTACCATATTGTATCAGCCTGGCAAGACACCAAACCTGAACCTGATACTGCTGCTGTATCCAGACAGCTGGTCATATTTCTGATAGGTCTGTGCCACTGTAAATTCATAGTCACCACCTTCAATTAGGCTGTCAGCACTGCCTATAATCTCAGTTTCTTCATTCCTTTTATCAACTCTAAACCCTTTCCCTTAGATCTCTTTCATCCCCTAAATGATCACTTGTTTCACAGAAAAAAAAATCCACCAAATAAATGTACATAAATGCATCTTCATTCACTCCATCCCTCTTGTACATGAAATATCGCTCCTAATAAAGTCTAGTTATTCAAAATGTGCTTGAATCCTACCCCATTTCACTCATGAGTTCTATTACTACATGGTCTGTATTCTTTATCTCTCCATTGGCTCTTTGCATGAGCTATTGAACATGCCTCACATTTCTCTCCAACTATACAGTCCTATTTCTGCTTCCTGGTCAGACTTCTCAAGTGCTGTCCTATTTTTTTCCATTTCCTTCTGTTTGCTCTTCAAACTCATTGTAGGTTCTGTTCCCACTATATACAAGAGCTGTCAATAGAATCACCAGTGACTTCTATGTCACTAAATCTAGTAGGCACTTCATTCTTTAGCATGTTCTCTAGGCAATATCTGATACTGTCAGGTGACACCAAAATTGAAAACCTCTAGGCATCGAGAACACAATAGCTTGCTTTCTAGCTTTATGCTGTTCCTCTGTTTTTGTGGGGTTCTCTTCCCTTACCTAATCGGTAAGTATTGGTGTTCCTCAAATCTCATCCCTAAGCATTCTCTTCTCCTGTCACAATATCCTTGGACTATTTCATCCTCTACTGTAGCTTCAGTTAGCAGGCATTGACCATATTTGTTTCTAATCTGATGCTAGACTTTTGTTAACTTGTCATTTTCACCAGGAGGACTTATAAAATTTAAGTCACACTATTTCCTAAACTTGCTCTTTTTACATCCCCCCTCTCTTTGATGGCACTTAATAACAACCAAACCTGGAACTGTTTTTCACTCCTACCTCTCTCTCAAACCCCCACATTCATTCATTACCAAGACTGCATAGTTGATCACCAAAATATTTCTTGGAGTTGTGCTTTCCATCCTCACTGCCCAGGCTGAGTCTGAACTATCATATATCTCGTTGCTTTTTAAAAAGTCTTCTACTGGGTTCCCACATATGCTCTCACATCCTACAACCCATTCACCACTCAGCAGTCCCAGGAATCTTTCTAAAGTACAAAAAGCATCACAAAAACCCTCAGTAGTAGACAATTTATATACAGGAGGTCCTTAGACATTGGAGAGGAAAAAGGAAGTGGGATAGGACCTAAGTTAGCACTGTATAATACAAACCAATGTAGCAAGTCAATGGAAACATGGTTATCTAAGGATGCCCTCATTAAACTACTACGTAAGATTGAAATCCGTTTGCATCTCAGACTTTTAAAAATGGAGAGGAATTTCAGGAGTTAGACTTCTCCCCATCCCTCACTCCTGCCACCTTTGCTTTAAGCCCTTGTAATAGTTTACCGTTGCTTTAAAGATAAAGTCCATAATTTATAAATTCATAATGATCTTGCCCTTGCCTACCTTTTATAGTCCCATTTCAGGCTTCTCTGCCCTGAAGGCCTCTCTTTCTCTTTAATCATTCTTAACTCAAATTGGCTTTCTTTCAGTCCCTTTAAAGGGGCAAGATCTTTCTTTGGGGCTCAGGACCTTGACACAAACTGCTACCTCAGACTGAAAAATTTCCTTCTCTTCCTGCCTAACACCTACTTATCCTTCAGATTTCAGTGGAAATACTTCCTCAGCCTACGTTAGGTCTGCCTACTATATGCTCTCACAGACCTGTATTTTGTTTTAAAACACCACAACGGTGATCAAATTTTCGTCTAGCCGTTTCTTTCTGGTTAATGTCTAGTTCCCATCCTCGACCCTCCGTCTCATCCCCTGATTTACTCCCCAGCTTGCTTAGCACATAGGCGCTTCATAAATAGTTTAATGGCAATAAATATAGCAGACACGTCTACTTGCTATTTTAGAATAAACACAGGTGCAAATACACAGTCGAAGGATATTTTCTGATACCAAATTAGGAAAATAGGAAGTCTCTATCTTTGGTCAAGTTCTTAAACAGCTTTATTGAAGTATAACTGTCGTTTAGATTATTTAAATAAGCAACACTCCACTAAAACCTACCCCTGTGGCCAGCTTGGCTGGATTGTCAGAATGCTCGTCCTCACAGGCTTTACATCACAACCAGGTCGGACAGGATCCGTGTGGTGTACCGGAAGTAAAAACACCGGAGAGGAGCCCGCCAGATCCGGACTGGGAGAGCTGCACCTTGCCCACTTCCGGCTCCGCCCTTCACTGGGAG